AATTTATTTATAGTAGTCGAATTAGAGAGAACAAATAAGAGAAAACCAAACAATCGATAAATACGTTAATTTTCCAAACAGTGTGCATTCTACTGATGACCATTATTAACACTTACGTGGCAGTTGTTGTAGTCTGTGTTGTAGCTAAAAGAGAAATAAGAATATTTGTCAGTAATTTAAGAAATTGATCGCTTTCTACGCACCAGTAGTAGTTGTTGCCGTTGTATCTGTCGTATCTGAACCTACAGAAGCATTGAAAATAACTAGGAATACACCAATTTCCTCATTGTTCGCATTGAATATCATGTATTTGTGGTAATAACAGCTATTAATTTTGATCAATTCTTCGATTGAAACTTAGCCAGCTCCTATCGCTCTTTCTAATACTATTGCTGTACCTTACGAAATACGATTGAAAGCAGGATAGTAACAAAAAGAGTGCTCAAAAAATTGGTTACAATGAATGGTTCTAATTACTACGAAGACATAATCTTTAGTGTTAGAAATTAGACATTGGTGTATCTGTATAAATAACATTCAAATGAGATGATCAAACATTTTCTCTAATATTTTTAATAAGATTTTTCTCAATACATTATAACATAGTTATGTACTAAGCTTATATATTAAGTGTTGAAACATTGATGAAGTATTATAGAGACATTTCCTCATAAATTTTCGATTAAAAAAGTTGTTAGTGCAATTCCTGCAGGATTAAAATGTGAAACACAATATAGCTACTATTGCTAATCACAAAGAAATTCCTTCATTCTATTTATTTTTGGATACATTTCTTCGTCCACCTTTTATTTACTTCTCTAGAAATGCTATGAGGAAATAGTTAATTATATTGTAACAAGAAGTTATTGATGTACGGTCTGTGATCGTATATCATGATGTGTAGGAGAGGAAGAAGATTTAGTAGATCCAAATTTCTATCCTATATATTTCAATATTCCTTGTAGATTATGTTTCATAAAATCTATGACGAAAGAATGAACATTATTCCTTGACAAAATAAGAATAATATGTTCTCTATTGATATCTAGAAGTTAAAATGATCAAATGAAAAATCGTACGTACTACTAGTAGTATCGGTTTTTCTTAGCATAAAAACAAGAACCACAGCTACAGCAATGCAAATAGCAAGAAGAACGAGGCAACAGATAAGAATTATTAATTTTTTTGTTGTCCAAAATCCTTGTGCTGAAGAATAAACAGTATGTTCTTTAATAGATACGTCTTCTAGTTGATCAATATCATTTTCGAATTTTTCTGGTGATGCGCTTGAACGTGATGTTATTAACTCATCTGAACTCGAAGTATTATAGGTATTATGAAATGGTCGATCATCCTAAATAAAATCATTAGAATTTAGTTATTATATGAAAGATTTCAAATGATTGAAAGTATAGATATGATTTCTTTTCTGTTTTATTCAAAATTAAAAAACATGAACAATCTGATGAAGAGAATGAAAATTAAGTTAAAAGCAAAATTATAAATCATATTCAGTTATTTTAAAATTAATGTTTGAAATAAAATTTGAATTAACCTTAAATATTATTTAAATCATTAGTTTAAATATAGTATGAGATAACAACTCAATTATATTTGAAATACTTACGACATATATTTTATTTGTATAATGTGGAATATATTTACCATGGATATCACTAGCATGAGGCATATTATAAAATAAAACACACAAAAAAAAATATTTATGTAGAAAAAAAAATGTAAGAGCTTTTTCTTTATTGTTTTTTGCTGCATCTATCATCAATATCTGAAGTGTCTTGTTTCTCAAATAAATTATTTGACAAAGGAGTGTCAAGAACGAGAGAGAAAACAATAAAATGCTTTTACATTGTTGTTTTATATATAACAGAATTTCAGTCAATCAATTATAATGGTCTACAATAGAGATGCTAAAAAAAAAAGAAAAGTTGTGCAAATAATGAATGTACATTATAAAATTACTGAGAAAATGGCTTGCTCTTGTTCAAATATTCACTAAAGTCTCGTGATGATTTTATTGCAAGAATTCAAAATAAGTATGAATATTTGTTTTCTGAAAATAACTGTAAAAGAAAAAAATGAATGAATATCTTAATTGACTATTGACTGTCATGGTTACATTTAATAAGTAATACAAAGAAAAACTATGAATTACAATTTTATTAGATTAAAATGAATTTTGTTCTTGTACCTGTCGACATTTATCGAAAACTACAACGAAAAATTGCACAGTTATTTCAAGAAAAGTCTGTATTTATTGAAAAATTGATTCATATACAAATTTGTGCTGTGCTTGTGTCGTACTAGACACACAATATAAAGAATCAAAGAAAGGGTATGAGTGTGGGTGAGGTCTTTCTTTAGTCTTCACTCACACCTATTCTTATGATAATATATCATGTACAGTTTAATGTTAACAACATCTTCTATTGGATTATCGACAAATATAATTCAAAATGAAGTTTCTTTATTTGAATCTACTCATTTTATTTGAACAACAATTAATTTACATCGAAGTCTAAAGACTATCAAACATCTGTAAAAATTTATTCATTTACGAGAATTATTTCTTTCTTCGTTTCATCCATAATGTGACATATCGATGAATATTAATAGTACATGATAGATTATGTATTGTGATCGTTTCATCACTCGTATGTAACTCAGTTGTTTCGTGTACTGTTTCAATAAAATCGAAGTGTACGCATACAAGCTGATGTTCACTAATACGAGTAAGAATAAAATCAATCCAATGGTCAACATTATGTCATACTGTGAAATGTAAACATCGTAATTGAGGAAAACGATGTTTATTGATAAGAAACAAAAGAAATGATTCCATGATTTCTTCATTTATCTTTGCATTAATAATGTATGAGCATATAACCGTTCAATATGTCAAAGAAAGAAATCGAGATATTGAGTATTGACGTTGGTAATGAACCAATATTTCAGTTCTGTCAAATAGATATTTAGACATTTAATATTTGGTAGTAATCAGAACTAAGAAAGTAATTCTATAATAAAAAAAAACAACACTTTAATTTATATATAACTATATAATAAACCTGAAATACCTTACTATTCTGTTCTGATCAGCATTATCGTAAACAGATGATGGTACAGGTGTTTGCAAAAAACTTGAAAAATTTTTTTTTCTCTTAAAATATTTTCTCTACTATTATAAATAACTACAAAAGTCATTTTTTGAGGGCTAAACCTTCGACAGACATACTACACGTTGTATGTATAGAAGTGTGGTTTTTTTTCCTTTTTGATATATATTTATTCAATTATGCCAGCAACCAGTAACTTAAAAAGTCATCATATTTCAGTTTTCTATTATTGGAACAAGGGCATACGATCGGGTCCTCGTATTCATCGTAAAACTAACATTCTACTGAGGACTATCTATTACAATATTGACAGATTAAGTTGACTTAAACATCGACGTGAAAATGGTCGACTATGTGTCCTTGGTGGAAAGAAAGAAAAGCTATTGGTCAATACATTCGATCTAATAATAATGAAATAAGTCTTAGAGAAATAAAAACAAGTTGTCGACAATACATCACAAATCAGTATCGACATCAGCGATTAGTCGTGACCTTCATGAATGTGGCTATAAAAATGTTTTACCTCAATCTACTCATATATTAATATCGGATGAAAAAGAACGAAGTGTACAATGGGCCAAGAAGTATAAAAATGAAGAGACTGATGAACTCCAACATTTTTTAGATGAAAGAGTCAAAAAAGTTGAAATATTCATGACAAATAATTCTGATGTGGCCAAGGAAACGAGATATTTGTATAATATCTTTTTTATAAGTCGATCAAAAGAATATGAAATTATACTGTTGTATAGTACTCGTCGTGGGCTATCTACCACACTATAAAACAATTCGAAGAGCACTTGTATAGAAGAAGATATCTGTGGAAGAAGGTTTCCAAGTTTTTTTTGCAGATACTTGTACACTGTTTTCATATATGTATTTTACAAATATAATAAAAGCGAGTATAAAACAAATTTGATGCGAATAAATATTTCATTAATTGAGTAAAAAAATGAATTTGTGAATAAAAATACTTGGATAAAACGTCAATAAATCATCAATAAATAAGAGTAGACATACAACCACACCCAACTTTAGATTTCGAAACTTAATAGTGATAATACGAAAAGACCATTTCTATAGTATGTAAACATCTGCGAACACCAATTTCGAACAGTTCCGAAAATAGATTCGAATGATCGAAGCCAAAATTTTTCTACGAATACCTCGCAAGCATGCTTCAAAATCTATGAACATCACATCAATAACAATCGTCCATTGGCGAAACTATAGGAGGTGTGTTGGCGAATATCCTATAGATCAAAGACATATTGACGATATTCTGGGCACCCCGAATACTACGAAAGTGTTTAGATGTGTGGATGTAAGTGGAAATTAGATTCACAATCACACCTTAATAATTGATAAAGATTCATGTATTGATGTTTTTTCAATGATGATGATGATGATGAAAAATACAACACGACACAATAGATAGATGATGATGTGGAAAATAATTTATTGAGAAAATCTTCTTTGAATAATGTATGAGCAAGTTGGTGTTCGCTCACTTTTTCTTTTGATTTTCATAATGTTATACGATCAATAGAATAGATGATTCTTTAAATAATATTAATTAAATATTTTAATGAATCATAAAAAAAATCTGATTTTCCTCGTTCTAATTATGAAACAAAATGTTCTAAGTCATCGTTTCAAAAATCGGAATTATTTTTTCAAGAATAAAATTTCATTTTCATGCTTATAATATTAAAAAAAAATAAATAAAATCAATTGAATAAAAATATTGTCACACTAAAGTGCATCTAAGCAAATTATAATAATGATAAAAGGTGCTTATACAATAAAATTTCACACAATAAAAATAAAATTCAGTCATATACTTGATGAAATAAATCTAAAAGTTTAAAATTTGACAAATCTTTGAACTCGAGAATTTCCTGCATCAGCAACATAAAGATTCATTGCTGAATCGAATGCAACACTTTCTGGTGCATTCAATTGTGTAGCACTATTACCAGATTGACCAGTACCTGCAATAGTAATTCCAGTTTGACTGTTAGCACAAAACAATTGTATTCGACTATTACTAGTATCAGCAACATATATATTCAGATAAGTATCAATTTTAACACCCATAGGATAATTGAGTAAAATAGGACTTTGACCTGATACACCTGGCACTCCAGCTACAAAATAGCCTGATGATGCACCAGGTGTCCAACGCATCACTGTATGTCCATAATAATTTGTTATAAACAAATCATTACTTACAGATGGCAAATAATGAATACCCCATGGATAATATAATGTTGTATTTGAATTACCAGCTCCATTATTACCAGCCATAAGAACTCCATTAGTTCCTGATGTTGAACTTGTTGAATAACGCATAATACGATGATTATAATAATCAGTAACATATATGTATGTACCATTTGAATCACCAGTCATATGTCGAAGACCATTAAATTGTGATAATCCAGATCCACCTGATAGAGTTATTCCAGCAATAGTTGTTCCAGTTGATGATCCACTAGCAAATTTTTGTACTCTATAATTATAATAATCAGTTACATATATATTTCCACTTGGATCAACATAAACATCTTGAGGATAATTGAATCGATTTGAAGCAGAACTAATTGATTGATATACTCCAGCTACATTAGTAGCACTTCCAGCATTATATAATAGTTTCCATACGACAGCATTAGGAGTTTCATCCACTACAAACAATGTATTACTTGAATCAATATACATACCACTAGGTGATAATATTTGTGATGAACTAAGTACAGTTGTAGCTGTTGTATTCCAACGTAAGGCACCCGAACTACCTAACAATGACATAAGAAGAAAGATAATAATATTTAATTTTATCATCTTTTTTATATATTTTAAGAGATTAATGTTAGTTAATTTATGCATACATTTGCTATATAGTAATATTAATTTTAGAGATTAAAAATAAATTTTTATTCAATTGTATGATTTGTGATGATCTTTTATATCTTCTTCTATTGACTTTAGTATGCAAAATTCATAGTATAATTTGTATGTTATTTTGTTTTAAATTTACCAATAGTCAATATGTTAATGATATTATAATATACGAAAAGTTATTTTCTTGATTATTTTGTATGGTCAAGGTAAGAAATTATAATTTTGTAGTTATGATAAGATTATTGACTAGAATATTATTTTACTTACATGGATTTGGTGGTGATGTAGTTGTAGTCAGGGTAGTTGTTGTAGTGCTTGACGTACTGGTCGTTGTAGTTGTTGTGCTTTATAAATGAAAAACAGAAGATTATAATAAAAAATATTATATTCGACAATCCTGGATACAGCAGATGTTTTGAGATTTTTCCATTCATAGAGAATTCACTTCTATGTTATCTTGATCAGATCTAACACAACTCAGATCATGAGTTCAGATCAGATGAATCGTTACAGTAGGAATTGAAACGATCTCTATGTTTCCTATGTTAATTCCAACTACAGATTTTACTTGTTTACAATGATTGAATTTTAAATATACGAATGCCGATAGTTCATCGCTTTGCATTTAGACATTCTCTTTCTATAATGCTTTATTCTGGTAAACAAGAAAAAAAGAACAATGTATTGAATTCCATTCATACTTTTGACACAATAGAATTATTTTTTTCATTGTTAGATAATACTAAATGCGTATCCTTCACAAGTCAGACGTGTTTTCGGTCACAGTAAAAATGCTTGTTTAAAAGAGCATTAGTCTTAGTATAGAAGAATCAACAAAAGAAATCAAAATAGTATTTCTGCCTATCAGCATCTCTTCCTACTGAATAGATTATCCAGACTTACACGGTAGTTGTCGTAGTCGCTGTTGTTGTAGTCACTGAGGTTGTAGTGGCCGTTGTACCTATAGACAGAATAGCAATATGTATTACTGTGCGAAACAAATACAAATCGCTTTCTACATACCAGTAGTAGATGTTGTCGTAGCGTCTGTTATATCTGAACATAGAGAAAATTAGTAAATAACATCTTAATGAAATTATAAAAATAAATAAAATATATAGAATCTTATAAGAAGATAAAATTATAAGCATACAAATAATCGTTTTAAGAAAAGAATGGCTAAACACTTTCTTGAAGATTTTTAATAAGATTTCTATCGATATTTTATAATATAATTATGTATCCTATGACGTAATAATGTCTCTGGCAATAGGTCCGATCAGGTTGATATGTGCTATATCATGTCTTAAAGTGAACATTATTCGTTTTTTTTAAAGTTTGGTAGTGCAGTCACTTTGGAGCTGAAATATGGAACTCACATGTCTTACTTGTCTTCATTATATCAATACAAAATACGCAAAGTGTTAAATCGATAAAAGACTACACTTCTTTTTCAATCATAATCGATTGTCAGCAGACGCTATCTTTTTTATTTGTCTTGTTACAATTCACATGGATTTTCTTTCTTTCTTTTTTTTTTATATTAAAATTTCATAATTTATTATTACTAGTCTAACCACTAATTTGATAGATAAATAGGCGTGTTGTACACATTCGTTATTCAGTGAAACTGAAATTGATTATTTCCGAACATTGGAACATAATTCAGTCATCGTTTTGTGTTGATCATCTCACAATTGTTAGAAATCAAAACATCATTCTTGATATCTCTCATATAATTGTTTATCCGTGCAATAAACAGAAACTGCGTTATTTAGAATATTGAAAAAAGGTAGTCCAGTCATTCAAATTTCAAGGAGCGTTCTGGAATGTTCTAGAACGTTCTAAACGTTGTTATTAATATCGTTCAGTACCTTTAATCCTGATTGCTAAGGTTTGTAATGAGGAGAAGGGGAAGCCGCAAAAATTTCGATTTAAACTTTTGCTTACTATGTTTTATTTGAAACTATAAGTGACTTCTAGAAAAAAAGACTAGTAAGTTCTTTCTTGATATCTATAGAATTCAATTGATCAAATGAAAAATGATACGTACTGTTAGTATTGGTTTTGTTTAGTGTAAGAACGAGAGCCACGGCTACAGCAACGCATATAGCAAGTAGAATGATGGAGACAAGAAGGATTATTAGTTTTTTTGTTGTCCAAAATCCTTGTGCTGCAGTAGTAGCAGTGCTATCTTTAGTAAATATCTGTTGCAGTTTATCAACATTGGTTTCTAATTTCTCTGTTGAAGGATTTGACTGTGATGTTATTGACTCATATAACGTTGAAGTATCATTGTTAAAATGAAATGGTTGATCATTCTAAAGAAAATCATTAGAATTCATTATTGTTTGAAAGATTACAAATGACCGAAAGTATAGATACAGGTTTTCTTCTGAATTATTCAATACTGAAAAACATAAACAATCAGATGAAGAAGATGAGAAAATAAGTTAGAAAGAAAATTGAGCATCATGTACAGTTATTTTAAAATCAATATATAGTATAAAAACTTGAATTAACTTCGATATTGTTTTAATGATTAATGTAAACATGTTATGAGACAATAAATTAATAATGTATGAGATACTTACATTATATGCTCTACTGTTATATTTGGGTAAGTATTTAATCTGAGACTGACTTGTGTTTGGCATTTCAGATCAATTATAAAATATACATCAGATGATGAGATTGATCTGGAATAAATCGTAAGGGTTTTTAGTTCTTTTTTTTGTGAGAATGTATCAATATCTGAAGAATAGTATGGCACTTGATTATTTTTCAAAACACTGTATTTACTAAAGATGTGAGACGAGAGAGAAAGCAGCAAAATGCTTTCATATTGTTGTTTCACGTCTGACAAAATTTTGATTAATCAATTATTTTTGTTTGCACTACAGATTGGTTTCTTTTATATATTAAAAAAGAAAAATAATCAAAAAATTCAAAAAGAGATTAAGAGAACCTGAGAAAATTCGTTGATTGAATGAAAGCTACTTGAGGGTGTGAATGTGGAGCGTCGATAAGGGTGTGGATGTGGATGTGTGCGTTAGCATCTCTTCACGACATCCACAGTCACATGCACACGTGAAACCTGCAATGATCGAATCGAATCAATATCAAATGTCTACTTTTCTAAAGAATATTTTGTTTAAATCGAGGAGAAATATCTGAGAATAAATTATGATTTCAATCAGTCAAGAGATTCTAATGCATAGTGTAGTAGCAAAGAGGATAGACAGTTGTACCAATGGCTTTCAAAAGAATGATGTGTCTATTGAATGATTGCGAACGGATTTTAGCAACGCATGTTTGACTGTACATTCTAAATACTGAAATTGCAGCAAATGTTGGCTATATTAGTGTTTAGATTAGCTTTAGAACCAGAGTTTATTTGTTGCTAGGTATTTCTATCGATGATTCAGGCGATAGAAAGAGTCTTCTGAATAGAGAAAAATGAAAGGATGTCGCTGGTCGACACAGATCGATTTTCAAATACTAATAATATGAGAACAATTGAATAAGATTAAGATTGGTTGTTTTGTGAGAACCATACAACTGTGTTCTTTCTTTCTTTTCGTTGCTAAGTGCTTTTTCGATAAGTCATCGAGTTGTAGAAATAAAATAGCATCATGGTATCTTCATTTATAATCTTCGATAATGTTTTGTTTAGCTTTCATTACTGACGAATTCAATTGAAATTTTTTCTTTTTGACATTTAAAGGTATCATCGGAGAATATAGTAGTAATCCATGCATCGTTGACTCTTGTCGAGTAAGGATATTTTGTACGATAAATTAGAGGTGAGACAAGTAAAGACAAATCTGCATCGATTGATCAGAGGTATGGATAAGTTGGTAATAGTAAATTTAAATCTCTATAGACTTTGTGTTTTCTGATTCTTGAATATTCTTTCAGATTGATTTCAATGGATCGGACGAATGATCTATTGCTGACACCACCATCGTCCTTGATTACGATCCTCGAATCATTACCAGATGAACTTTTCTTTGAAATTTTCCAATATTTATCCATTCGAGATTTGTATAATGGTTTTTATACTCTCAACTATCGATTCCGAGCGATACTCGCTTCTCTTACAAACCTCTACGGTGAAGTAACATTCCAACAAGAATTGTCTTCTTCATATTTTCGTTACTTCGCTTCACGTATAACAACACTCATTATGCATTACGTTGAGTTAATAGATTTATCACCATTTTCGGCTGTTCGTTCGTTGACATTGTACATGGAACCGAATCGAGCCCAATGTCAATTAATTCAGCTCTTTTCTCGTCTCAAATATTTATATATTTCACAGCGTCCAATAGAACATTTCTATTATTCAGTGTCATTACCGTTCTTTGTCTTCACGAATGCATATCCAAATTTGCACACGTGTCAACTCAATTTGATCTCGTACCGAATACGACAAGATTGGACTTGTGTTCCATCGTTGCATAGATTGAATGTTTGTATAGAAAATCCACGAGTCTTCATACAAATACTTCAGTCTTGTCCGTCTCTCATCCGTTTGAATCTCGAGTTAACACGACACTTTACTCGACCACCCGCTCGATTTGACGTTCCTGTTCATACATCTCTTCGACGATTCGATCTTTGCTTGAATGAAACCATGTTTTCATGTTGCGATATAATCGATCTATTTCTCTCGTTGATGCCTAATCTGACTGTTCTCATTGTTCGAGGATCTTCGTCCACGGTGAACAATGTTAATATATACTCACTCGCTGATATTCTCCGGCAACGTGTGCCGACACTGTGCTACTTTCATTTCGATATGGCTATCGAAGAATCACTGACCGGAATTACAGTCAATCATGATAGGCAAGAAATAGGACAACTTCATCCACTTTTCACTGACATTCGGATCTATCCATCAACACAAAAAGCACCGGCACGACTGATCGTTGGAAAGTGAAAAAAACTGACTTTCACTTTTTTGTTCATTGATACCTACTAGGATCTTATCGCCTCGATATCAATGGCGATGATGTTTAAAGTCGGTACGCGATTTCATATTTTGTAAAAGCATGATGAATGATCATAGATGGTAGGATTTCTCCTCAATCGATGTTTAAAATCAGTTTATTTCGACTTTTCTGTAAATGTCTTTGAGCTCGAAACTAGAATGAAGTTGTTAGCGGTATTCCACAATAGAAATAAGAGACAAGCATCATCGACCGATGGGTGTGGGCGGCCGTGTATCTTGCTTTCATCCACCCAAACGTTCCACACCCTCATTCCATGACTCATGAAAAAAGTCTATCTATAAAGCGAACACTTTTTTCTAGCACATTGTAAATTTATTCGAACAAAACACTTCGTTTGTTCTCCATTATTTGTGTTTGAAGAATCTTTTATAGAGGTTCATCAATATTTTGATTTAGTTAAACCAAGTATACAATCAATTCGAATTCAGATTTATCACTTAGTAGGATGATCAATAATTCACACTTGTTCTTCGGAACAATTGATCACAGGAATCTCACAAACTTATCTGAAGATCTTTTTCTTTGAACTCTGTTAAGAAGAATACATCTGAAAACATACGAAACTTACTTAAGAATGATCTGAAATCTATTTCGTCCTAAGAAGAGAAATGAACCTTATTGAAATTTAGTATCACTAACTGGACATGATTTTCTAATTATCATTTTGAAAATTTCATTTCATTGGATTTTATAGAGAATTGTTGAAGCTATATTTTGAGAAAATATTCAAGTCAAAACTTTGAAAGCTAAGAGATATATTCAAAAACTATTCAGATAGTCATTTATTACGGATCATCTATTAGATATGTTGAAAAAGCTTTTCTTACATTAACAAACGTTAGTTAAAAGTTTTTATCATCATTAAATCACTTATCAATAAATTTTAGAAATTCGAAAATCTAAATAACAAATAAATCTCTTTACAATAATATTAATTTTCAGTGAACCACAATTAGAATAAACAGAACAGTTAAAACAATTGTATCTTTACCCTTGCATTGATGGAAATTCGGTTGTTACTTAAATATTGATATGTTATTCATATTTTAGAATCAATCGTTGTTTGATGATACTTGATCAGTTGAAATTAATGAAAAATTTACTATACATCAGAATGTGGGCGTGGGTGTTAGTCTCCTTCTAACCTACATCCACACCCACACCCTTCAACATCATCATGATTTAAAACAAGCATTACACACACCTTTCAAAGTCTTCATTTTTTTCAATATTTTTTCCAAAATGTTCAGTTTTTCAATTAATCCTGTTACTTTGGGTATAATTTGTTCGCCACTCAAGAGATAAATTGGTTCATTTCAATCAATGTAACAGAGGTATAATTTATTCTGTTTCTGGATAAAGAATATGGCACGACCAATGATAATAAGACTAATCTAAGGACTGGATGTTTTTGGAAAAATTTGAAAAAAATAGAGATTTTGAAAGTTGTGTGTAGTGCTATTTTTAAATCGTGCTGATATCGAAAGAGAAAGAAAAGAGAAAGAAATAAGTATTTTTACAACGCAATATGCAATTTGTGCAGAAGCAGACGGTGAATCTTTTGATAAAAAAAAAAAACATGAGCGATAAGATAACGGTTAAGATGTTAACGAAATATTGAGACCCTCTTTTATTACGAGCTACCCGTTAGTTTCATATCATAAACATATTTTCTATACTGTGTTTCTACTTTTCGGACTTCAAAAGGTGGCAGCACTGATTGTAATACTCGAATTTAAGAAGATGTCTCAAGACATCTGCCACCGTCCCAAAAATATTTGATTTGAGCATCTTTTCATAATAGGCTACTTTGCAGAACTATCAGAATATGTTTGTCATCTATCTTCAACTGCATTAGTAAGAGTTTTACTTTTAGAGTTCGATGAACAAGCAAGAGCGTAATAATAAAGTTGCTATTGGTTTTTTAACCTGCACACCACATGTTGAATTAATTCGTTTCGCAAATGAAATCAGTTCAACAACAAATGAGTTAGATGTTTATATAATAATTGATGATAATACTTATGATCCACCGCAGTCAGACTGCTCATTGCATTTTATTCAAGTCGACAATAATCAATGTGTTTCCAATGGTTACAGAAATTCGCTGACACTCATATGGGAGAAAGAATGCTTAGCATGGGACAAAGCATTATATTACTTTTGTCGTTTAAATGGAAAAACATACGATTTTGTCTGGTTAGTAGAAGAAGACGTATTTATTCCAAGTGTACATGCTTTGATAGTTCTAAATGGGCAGTGCTGCAGCCAAGGATATGATCTGGTATGTCAAAGAAATCACTACAATTTACATGGAGCTCTGGAATCTCTAACATGGAGATTTTGGTTTGATGCTAAAGATAAATTTCCTTTGCCATGGTATCATTCAATGATTTGTGCCGTTGGTTTGAGCCGTCGATTACTAATAAAAATAGATGAGTATGTAACAGCTCGATGTTTCCTGCCATTTATTGAATATTTCTTTAATACGATTGCCATGCATGAACAACTTCATGTTTATTGTCCACCAGAACTATCAACAATAAACTATAGACATGACTGGATTTTAAAAGAAATACGGCAAAGTCCAATGAATTGGTATCATCCAATTAAAGATATGAAACGACAACAACAACTTCGAGAGAGGTATGTTCATATGCTGTGTAAAGCGTCGCTCGAAGATTTCAATAAGCACAGTTCTAAAGAGTTCATTATCTTGTTTCCATTCACCATATTTTAAATCATGTTTTAATATTAGTCTGATATATGGATGCATGCATCAATTCCTAGACTGTAGTTTCAACGATGATATATTATAATCTTGAAAAGCCATTGTTCTGTCAATTATTTATAACAATGTTGTTCAGCTTTTATTTCTCTGTCTGAAACTGATATTAGATTTCATTGTGTCTTTAAAAAAGTTTTAAGATTATTTGGAATGGATCAAAATTTATAAATTTTATGGCAAAATCCGATGAAGTTTAATGGATAGCATTACCTTATTGTAAATATTTAGAGAAAGCAAATAATAACAGGTTTGAACATTGTTGTCTGTGGCATCGAATTCATCGATTCTAACTAGTGACTGAAAGTTGAAAGATATAGGTGTGAGTAGTTGCCTCACACACTTACATCCAATCCTCAGAACAAGAAAAAATTAGGCAGTACTATGAAAAAAAATTGACTCACAATTCTAAAAAAATGTCATCTTTGTAACCATGGTCCATGAAATGACGAGTTTCTAGCCTGATGCACCTTGAGTTTTTTATTCTTTCTAAAGCAAGTATTTCGAATGAAATATACTAGTATCCAATGAACCGCACTCAAGCGTCTACTTTGACTATTAACTTTGCTTTAAACTAAAAAAGGACTGCGTTTGGGATCAGCTATAGAAAGAATCATTTAATTGGACGAAAGTTTTATTTTTCTTCTCTAGACTACTCAATTCATCAGATGTCGATGATGACGATAATGAACCGGAGCAAAAAGAATATGAACCAGATTGTTTCTGTTTACAACCACCAAATATTTAAGCGTAAATCGATGATGGAAGTGTATTATACAAATAATACAAAATCATATTGTGACACTCTCTTCAAGTTTTTGAATGTGTTGTTGTTTGATTCGTTCCTTGTGTGGATGTGGGTGTGAGTAGATGCGTTTGTGAATAAAAAGTCAATTATACTAATCCATACCAACATCTACAGCCGTTCCTATGTATAAATGCTCTTCAAAACAAACTAAGCATGAAAATTTTGCGAAAAGCTGTATGAAAAACAAAAGATAATGTTCATAGTAAGTGTCTGGCCATCCAGAAATGTTTAGCATTCATCTTCCTTCCTCTCTGTCTAGATTTCTACAGTTTTCACAGACTTTTCCCCTGTCTTCCTAGACGTCATTAATCGATGATCCATAAATAATCTCAAATTTTTACTCGACTCAACGTTCGATTAATAGGTTGTACATATAAAAAAAACATTCATCTCTCGGTTTTTCTTGACACCTTCTTTGTCAAAATCTAGGTGAATATGGGTTTTGATGTGGATGCCGGTGAGCGAAGGGAGATACACACTCTCAAGGCATGGAGCCAAAAAAATTCAAGAATTTCATGACTTTTATTCTGGTTCCACAGTCTTGTGTTAAATGCTAAGTAAATTTTTGTATTGGAGATGGATGGTGAATCCCCATGAACTGAAATATATTGTTTGAGCTCTAAGCGTACGACGTGCTAAAACCTAGCCTCTCTATTCTAACCATGATCAGTAGTATTTTTCGATGTTAGTGAATATTACAATGATTTAGTGGTATTTTTCCAGCTATTGATCTCTAATAACATTTTCTATTTAGTTGAAATCGAAGTTGATGACAAACAATTCGAAGATGATGATTGGAACAAAAGAAAGAAAGGTAGCCTTGAATTAGCAAAAAAGAAGCAGGCGGAATTGAAAATCTACCATGATAGTTTTCCAAATATTGATGATGTTAAAGATGAGACAAGACCCGATATAAATGGAGCAAAAGAATTTACGAAATCGATCCTACACAATTTACCATCAGGAGGAATTATCGAAAAAACTATTGTGTGCCATGTATTAAAGAAGTTGTTTGAAAACCGAAAATTCACCATGCTTATTTTTCGATTCCATTCATGGTGGAAATTTTCATGATGCATCCGGATATTTGTCTGAGATAGATTTAGAAGACAGACTATTTGTATTGAAATTGAAAAGTAGTGAAGGATTAGGAGGCGGTATAGGACAAAAAACTGAACACGATGTGATAAGATTTGTGCAAACATTGAGTAAAACTATTGAACAAGAACAATCTCATCCGGTTATTGAAGACATAATAGAACGATTATCGAAAGCGTATGGAATTGATAAAAAGTATATCTGTGTCAAAGCCGTGTTTGCCGGAACATTTAATGTGATTTATACAGTGAAAGATTTGGCATCTCGTATTGTGAATTCATTTTCGAAAGTTGCACAAAAACTAAAACATCAATTCGAACAATTTTTAAGTGCAAAAATTCATCCATTATTATTTCGACCAACATTTGATATCCTATTCTTTAATAAGCAGGGCAATAAAACATTTTCGAGTTCACCTCGGACTCATCAGGTTGGCCCACCAGAAAATACCAAAACATACACCTCACATACAGGATAGACGAGGTATGGATTGAAAGTATTAGACAAGTATAAAGATGTAAAAATTTAGTTGCATCCATTTCAACATCCTAGAAATTGGTATCGAGCTTTTCATGGAACAGGAAGAGCAACAGTAGTAGATTTCAGGAATGATAAGCAGTCGTTCGATCAACAATATGCATCTGTCAATGCTGTCGCAAGTACCTATGAAAATCGATTTCATCTCGCGTGAGTTACTTTTTACAGATCCAGTGTTTACTGTTCTCCAAATTCTAAGTTTTCGGAAAATGGATATGTTGTAGTTGTTGAATTAGAGAGACAAGAAGGAAAGAAAAAGTTTAAATGTATGTTGCAAGTAGCTGTGAATCCTAGTGGTGTCAAGTTTACCGATCATAAGGACATATGGGTTACACCTAATCCTCAAGACATTCGACCGCACGGGGTACTCATTAAAGAAGCTTGATTGAAATATCATAAGTAATTTTACTCATTCTATTGATGAACCATTTCTTTTCTTGAATACTTTTGTTTCTTATCATTAAAACGATTTGTATGCTATTTCTGTATTGCATGAGGGTTACAATAAGTGTTTTTATATATTTCAAAGAAACTCTATTTGCTAAACAATGTTTAAATGTACCAAATACGTAAACATTGGTGTGAGTATGTGAAGATGTGAATGTGGGATCGGGTAAGAAAGAGTGAAGGATACATACCGCGCTGCATACCCAAACTCTAGATAGTTCGCATGCCAATCTTACTCTTTCGACAAGGCCTACCTGTAGGATGTGGGTGTGGGGGTGTGGATTTTAGTGTGAGCATGGGTGTGCAGTGGACGAAGAACAACACCCAGCCTCAGTCCGACTGCTACTCACACGCCACATGCTTCCACCCATGCCTACACTCACACTGACAACCAAACTATTGCTTTTGTATAATTGAGATACTATCAACTATGAACGTGATTATTACTTAGTCAACAATATTTGTGAAATATTACTTGATAATTTCGTAAACTTCCAGAACAAAAAAAAATACAAGAAAAGTTTTATTTTTTTTAATGCGTCATGTGACAACATCCAATGTTTCTGAGACAGTGTGAAGTTTCCAGCGCCCTCTGAGGTACATAGTTTCCTATTGATCCAATGAATCACTTGTCTCTGTCATTGCTAGCTACTTACTCAATCTTTTCTTCTGTTCTATTCCTTTGCCTTCTTTATTTATCATAGTTTACTGTGCGTCATTATTATTACACTGAAATTATTCTACCGTTGTCTAGAATGACCGAGCGCTGATTCATTCTCACAAGACATACAATATAAAAGCAGCAGTATTTCTCACATTACTTCATTCATTCTTGTTAAGAATATATTTATTTCTTGTTTTTGTCTACTTACTCTTACACAATAACAATGCAAATTTTTGTTAAAACTCTTACGGGCAAAACTATCACACTTGAAGTTGAACCAAATGATACCATCGAAAATGTGAAAGCAAAAATCCAAGACAAAGAAGGAATTCCACCTGATCAACAACGTCTTATCTTCGCCGGCAAACAACTTGAAGATGGTCGAACACTCGGCGATTACAACATTCAAAAAGAAAGTACACTTCACTTAGTTCTTCGATTACGTGGTGGTATGCAAATATTCGTGAAAACTCTCACTGGCAAAACTATAACACTCGAAGTTGAACCAAGTGACACAATCGAAAATGTTAAAGCCAAGATTCAAGATAAAGAAGGAATTCCACCTGATCAACAACGTCTTATCTTCGCCGGTAA